AGCATTTGAAAATTCTCTATGGCAAATTGTACAGCGTTACAAGAAGTAAAAAAAAAACAAATAGTTAGTTTACGCTGTCGCTAGCTACCGTAGATACTGATTCATGATAGAGCAACAGATAATAAGGTTACGAAGTGATGTTATGACATTTCTTTTAAAGAAAACTAAAAATGTAGTTATGTTGCAGAATTGAAACATGAGATAGAAAATTTGAATTTGTTTTTTTTTACTTCTATATTTAGCATGTTTAGTGTGCTGTTTTAATTATTCGATGCCATTGAACGTGATATTATGAATCGAACTTTATAACTTTTTCCCTTAAAGTTACGAGTCTTCGTGATAAAGAAGACAAAAGACCTGTGTGTGAAGTCGCTGTGCGTCAAATATTAATGTGGAATTTAGAAATATATTTATATAAAAATGAATGTTTGTTTGTATGTTTGTCCGGTTTGCATTTCTTTATTACTCATCTGATTGCGATAAAACTTTTGTCCACGTCCGCAAGTTTCCATTTCGAAAAATCAGGTGAATAAAAATGGAATTAAGCTAATTTACTACTCCGCGAACTCAGTGATGGTTAAATCGTGCGAAATAGCTGCGCTTTATCTAATTTCAATTTAAAAAAGAGGAGGTTCCCGATTTGAATGTATTTTTCTTTGTATGTGTGTTACGCGATAACTCCGGTATTTGTAAACCGATTTTGATTCTTTTTTGTTGGAAAGAGGGGTACCTCGTTATAGGTCCCAAGAAAATATTCCACCTCTAAGGGTGGCAAACTAGGGGATGAATCCGGTTTCGCTTTCCGGTAACCGATTTCAATACAACTTGGCAAATAGATGTTATTCCACGAACTTTTGAGTTACAATTATTTTTATAGGCGAAACATGTGTGGAGTATATTTTTGATGTGGTGTATGTGACTATAGTTGCATTTGTGTTATTTATTTTATGCAAAGGGAGGGTGGGAAAATTAACACCATGAAAAAAATATTCAATACCGCAGCCATTTTGCACGATTCAACTTTCACTGCGTTCGCGGAGTAGCAATGTAATTTCATGTTAATAAAAATGGAAGTACCATTTTTATTAACATAAATTTCTGCAAAGTAACATAGAGAACAATTAATTAATTAAATTAAGTGAATCAGTGGTTTCAATAAAGTGTAAAACGTAGAGGCGGTTCTTTTCTACGTTCTCTGCTATTTTTTTTTTATTTCAGTAACATCGCAACGCACGGTACAGCTAGTTTTATACAGAATCTCTTTTGTAAGACTCTTGCATCACTGGAGTAGTGTCATAAGTATATCAGATCTCATTTAACAGTATAGTTTAAAAAAAGTTTAAAGTCAAAGCGAATATGTTTGTCCATAACCGTTATATTTAAATATGACTAATTTCGTCGCGTGACCGTAAAACCATATTCACAATGGCTAATAAAATAGCCGTTAATTTTAACTACAACAGTTAATTGCTTTTGTTGCTTAACATGGTTGCCGTTAATTGGTTACAAGTTTTCAATTAGAAAATGGAGAATCTATTGTGATTTTATTTTATGGTCTACACAATTTACAAAAAGTAACTAGATGATGATTTAGTTTTAAATAAACAGTAAAATTTTATTAAATTTCCGGTACTTATACATTTTTTTGCGTTGAAATATTTAATTAAACTCCATAGTATAGTAGTTTATTTATTATGTCTCATTTATTATCAATAATAATAATCTGCTAGACAACTACACATAAATTACCTAGTCTCAAACTATATTTCGTTTTCATTAAATTAGAAAAACTGTAAACAAAGAAGCAGGGATTATAAATATTTTTCTTCTGACGAGAAATTACAGTAAATGATAAATGACACGATTATACTATGTTGTTAAAATATAAAAACGTTTCCATTTCAGAGTTTATACTACCTCAAAGGGCTTTCCTCAAATGGCTTTGGTTGATTCCACATAATAGCGTCAGTGTTGAATTTACCACTTTGGAAAAAATATAAAAACTTAAATTTACCTCATAATTTTACAGGAAAATGCTGTATTGAAAAAGGCTGTATTGAATAGGAGAATACTTTACATATACTAATTATTTTTTAACCGACGTAAAAAAAAGAGAAGGTTCTCATTCATTCATTCAGTTTTTTTTATGTATGCGACGCGATAACTCTGATATTTGTGAACCGATTTTGATGATTCTTTTTTGTTGGAAAGAGGGTACCTCGGATGTGGTCTCATTTAAATTTGAACAAAATATTCCACCTACAAGGGTGGCAAAGGGATGAATGACTTTTGAGGTCGGTTTTTTTAGTACTTTGTACTGTTTTTTTTATTTTATATCAACTAAATAAAACTCTATATACTATACGATATACATTTCTCAAATGGCTTTAATATCGTTTGTAAAAAAAATTCTGAAATAACTCCAGTGCCCCTGCCGCTCGACCTAAGCAAAACGAACCTTATTTACACGGGAAAAATTTGAATTCTAGCTAAGGTAGTATCGTATCATAATGTTTATAACCTGTGTTTCTTTAAGCTTCTTATAATATAAGTCTTAGAAATAGTTTAAATATACAAAATTCTCTAGTTGGAAACCAGGTAATTTGTGTTGTTGTCTGGTTCATTCTTTTTGTTTGAACCCTTTTTACAACCTCTATCTTACCGGATGTGACTACAATATAGTCGAGAATGGAATATGGTTGCTTAGAATATAGTTCCACGTTGTTTTTCACACTTCAGTAGCTCGATATGGCGCGACTTGCGTAATAGCAACATGGAAGCGCGAGACATTGCTAGTGTATATGCGAGAATTGCATTATCTCGCGCCATATGTCGCAAGACGCGTAGTGTCGTGCTAGCGCTATTGGTATAATAAGGCCACTTCTGCAAAATGACAACATTTCAGGAGAGAGCTTTAAGGATGCTCAAATTGGAGAGCTATAAAATTTCACCAACACACAATTTCCTTCATGTAGTTCGTATTTATGTTTATCACTTTCATATGATAAAAACACTTTTGACGTGTAATCACATTGTGGCTTTATCATACCAATGCCACGATTTATCGAAGAACAATACATTCGAAAAAAACTCTTACGTCACTTAGTTAGAGTTTAATTATAGTAAGTTGATATAGATTATAATTCGAACTGAAATGATATTTAGCTCAGTAATTATTTTTAACAATCATCTCTGTAATGCCAGTGTGTCGATAATTAGTAGAAATTCATCATTTTCACTAATTAGTAATTAAAGTTACTAATTACAAATCAGATTAATAATTAGGAACCTTGCATACTGGTCGACTAAGTTTTGGCGAATGTCTAATTGCTTTCTTCTTTGTGAATTTTTTTTTAACTACCTTTTTAATTTTATTTGTGTAATTTATCTATATGTGAGAGTTTATTTTTTATTGTAAAAGGTGATCGCGTTCAGATTGTTGCATAGTATACGAAAAGGTGGTCACGTCGTTGTTTTTTAAAGCAAATTTACCTTAACTCCTATGTTTTAAGAATACTGTTCATTCCGCCTATGCGAAGCATATTACGCATATATGAATATGAATCGAGGCTATCAGTGCAAAAATGGTGTAATCCGATGCATATAAAAGATAAAGGTTTGAGAATGATGGATTTAAAATTAAACAAAGTCATTTTACATATGATTATATATGACTAATATATGATTATATATTTTTTTATACACGACAGTATGTAGCGTCCAAAATATAATTATGTACTTTAATATTATCTTTAGTAGTGCTAGAGCTCCTTGTGAAAGAGCGCGTTCAGGGAAGTACTGCCACCTTACCTATTTGTGCTTTATATTTGTTAATGGTGCTGGTGAAATTACAGGCATATGGGACTTGTCAACTTATGTCTTAGGGTGACGGGCGTAGAGGTAGGGATCTCTGTGATTTAAAGCTCTTGAGTGACACTGTAATTGTTATGTACAGGCGTGGCGCTTGCCACCAGGCGCACGACCTATTCGTCTCGTCACTTGATGTAATAAAAAATGTCATGTGGTTCATACCACTTTTGCACTGATAGCCTTAATTATTTTATTATTGCAGATGAACACCTTTGGTCACTATTTTTAAATTAAGAAATATTTTGTAATTCTAAAAAATGTAGTACACAGATTTATGCCAGTAATGACCAATTGATTCAACACATTTAGTCACTAAGTGTGCAAGGTTCCTTCTTTCTTTACTACGATTAATCGCTAATTTTAAACGTTTACTAAATCTACTTACATTAATATGTACATAGTAATTAATTTACTGGGCCATGTTACTGGCATACAGTCATACGTTTTTATTGCACATTCTATGGAAAAGTGTTGTTTTTTTAATATCTGACTTGTGATATGGTATTAAGGTTCAATTTTTAATATCACTAGTGATTAGAGAATGTTACAGAAAGGTATAGCCAGTTTTAAACAGTAGATTTAAGAACTTACAGTTGGCCATATTCAAGGATTACAAACTGTTACATTTTTTGTTGTAAAATTGTGCTATACCAAACGTTCGAATTTGCAGTTTGTAATGTTATAAGTACATTTTAGTTACTATACCTTTTTGCACTCTCGCATTTTAGTCAGAATAACTGCAAAACACCAAAACTCTAGCCTTATACTATTTCATTCAAATACCAGTGAACATGACCCTTTAATAAATAATTTAGGAATATCTCTATAAAACATTAAGTACTTAAATAATAAAATCAACTATCACATTTATATTTCGAACGAAGCTTCTTCATTTGTACAATAAACTACGAAAAAAATCTAGTTTTTATTTACAGACGATTTAAATACAGAAGTACTGATAACTTTTATACGTTGACTAAAATCTTTAAGAAAACAACCATCTCTATTACTTTTAAGAGACTGAACATGGTGTACTTTTGACACCGCTATGTTAATCTTGTCGTCAGCCTCTAAAAAGATTTAGAGGAAATAGTACTCCAAAGAGATTCTAATCTACCGATAAACACTAAATTTAAGTAAAGAACATTCTATTTTCAACATCACTAAAAAGTTCCATTTTGAAAAAAATATTCACATTTTTCTTTTTCTAAATTCAATGCGAATTTCGAAAATGTCCAGTTCGATTTTTAAAAATCGAGCACGCGTCGCTCGAAACCGTGCGCGCGTGAAATCTCGTTTCATTTTGACGCATTGACGACAAGATTTGTCGCTGCCTCCTCACTGGCTCCTATGCTCATGGCTTTTTTCTTCAAAATCCCAAGATCCGTCACGTTTTCTAAGAAACTCTTATGAGCGGACAGGACTTTTGCACTTTCCACGTCTTTTTTTAACTCCTCCATGTCTCGTTTCAACTTCGCGCGTCGGTTTTGGAACCAAGTTATGACTTGCGCGTTGGAAAGGCCGAGTGAACTTGCAATTTCGTCTCTATCCGCTGGTGATAAGTACTTTTGGTACAGGAACCGTTTCTCCAGTTCGAAGATTTGGTGGTTTGTGAATGCTGTTCGTGATTTTCGCTTTTTCTTGGGCTGCGGCCGCGAGTTGAAGAGGTTTAGGTGATTCGACTGACTATCTGTAACAAGGAGAAATGATATATTAGTAATTAGAAATTAACATCAACAATTAAGGGAAAGCAAGTAATTTTTTAAACAATAGGAATATTCAGGGATCTTATTCTGAGTCTTTCTATAACATTTCTTAAGTTTATCTAGTGTCTATGTCTAACAATGAAGTATTCGGTGTATATTAAATCAACAAGTGTAATTTAAATCAGTAACTATACAATGACCTCGGTGGTTGAGCACTTTTGTTACATTGCTTCTAGACTGTTCTGGGTAAGGCTTCGAAATAATTTTCTTAGCTTTGATAAAGAAAGGAAACTGTCAGAGCCATTACGTTATTATTATAACAATCCTACGCGCCTCCGACAGTGCATAGACAACCTTAACTCCTTGTTGTCTTTGGGTATTTAATTATCGTGTTCAAAAAACAACGATAGGCCAATGAAATCAAGTTTTTTAAGTCAAATAAAATCGATCGGGTAAAAAGCACAGCTATAAACATAGCGCTAACGCACTTTCGAATTGTTATCAGGCACTAAAACATCAATGGAGCATTTCAAGTCTATGACACCACCATAAAGTGCCCGCAGCGCTAAAATGTTACTCTTCCGTCGTAAAAAAGGCACAATAAAAACACGCCCGGTATCGTTTCGGTTTAACGAGCAAGCAATCACATACGGGTAGAGCTTAAAAATATCATAAACACTTCTTATGGAACTTAAAGCCAATGAGCCTTCTTGTGGCTGTATCGACATTTTCGAAACGAGAAGTGCACGTACAAGTACGTGCACTTCTCGCTTCGAAAAAATTATACATTTAAGAAATATTTACGAACTAAACATTATTACAGTTACATACTTAAAAAGAACATTCAAATGCCATTGACGAATTTTCAAATTTAGAAAACAAAATATTCGATCTTTGTATTAATAATTATAACAAACTAGTGGAGTAATTTCACAAAAAATGAATATCAATTCAATAAAAATTTAATTAAACAAAATAAAGTCATCACAACAAGGAAAACAAAACAGATGAAAATAAACATTTATCTACAAAGTATGGTTTTATCGCCAGTCGCGTGATGTGTCAAAGGATGTTTAGTAATTTCCCGCCTAACTGTGTCTACAAATGTTCGAACAGAATAAATAAAATGTAGAATGATCTAATAATTTATTAATAAAGAGATAAATAGGACTAAACAAAGAACAAGCGGGCAGTGTCACTTTAGTCCTAATAATAGTAGATCTAAAGCGAAAAATTAAATGAGCTGAAAGCTCTTTAGAAGAACTAACAAGGCTAAAGAAACAACAAATTTAATTTTATCTACTTTAAATAAATATGTTTTATAATCAAGATTAATGTGTAGTTTTGTTTGTCTTCTAAAGTGTTTAAATAATAAATAAAAAAGCTATATAGTATTTTTTTACTAGAGCGCAATTACTGCTTTATAGTCGCTCGATTTTCAAATTTTTATGTTTTATTTGTCGCCTGATGTTTTTAAATAATAAAAAAAAAAAATATTATTCATTTTTGTCTTTACTGCGTAATAATTACGCCAAAGAATTTCGTGGAACATCTCTAATGTGATGCTTCGTTTGTGTCCTAATGTTTTTGAACATAAATGAAAAAATAAACTGTATTGATCATATTCACTATTGCGGAACTCCTTACTGCATTACAATCTCGTGCTAAGTTTGTCTAATTTTTTAATGGAAGAAAAACCATTGCTACATTTAGCGTTATCGTAGATGTTTACGATTCCAGAACAATCGAGTGTTATGGCCGATTACAAAAAAAAGTAATTTTTAGGGCCAATAAACCAACGGAAGCATGATACGAGCTAGAAAATTGCTAACAATGGATATTAACTTACACGACCTCTTTTTCACTTATCTTTGTTAGTAATATTAGAAATAGGTTGCTATACGGTTGAGTAACTTGGTGAAAATGTCCGTGTAATTAAGATTTAACGCGCAAAGCGCTAGTTGGTACTTAAATGGTGCTAAAGATTTAGTTTATGGTACTCCCGAGGCTGTAAAGTTTATAATACTATAAGCATATTTGAAAACGGTATAATGTTTAATTCCCTTGTTTTTAACTTTTTATTCAGCACGTTAGTTTTTTGAAGTTTACTTTAAACTTAACGCGCTCTTAAATGTTTTTGACAATTGTCTTCACAAAGTCAGGCAATGTATACGCTTCTATAATAATATTCAAAATTTGCCATTTACGAGATTTGAAACTAACGACACAAAAACTTTAGAATATCCGTTATACAGCTTCTGTGTACTTGGATGACAAGAGTCCATAGTAGTGACTCTGAGTGAGCTTATGTAGGTTGTCTTGATATGTTATAGTTGAAATAGTATTGTAAATGACCAATGTGTATAATATTAATTTACAAAGAGCAACCCCTTGAATTTCTTACTCGTTCTTCTCAAGGGAATCTTCTGCCTTACAAACGAGTAGTAGTACGACGGCTAATGAATAAGTACCTTGTTATCAACATCATTAATCCATTAACCGTCCCACTGATGATCACGAGTATTCCTTAAGGAACAGTTATTTGCAGCAGTTATAATTTCTCTAGAGAGTTTTTGTTTTTTCATAAAAAAACCAGAAAAACTGGTTTTTTCGCAAAGGGAGACCTGGTGTCTCTAAACACAGGGTTTTATCTTGTTTGAGCATCAGTCTTACAAAAAAACAAAATGCTGCATTTAACGTCATGTTCTTAAGTTTAAATTTCACTGTGGAAAAAGAAATATAATAATAAATATTATTATTATTAAGGAGATGGTTTAGGCCACATTTTGTTACGCTAGCCGAATGGGGTTTAGGTTCTTTTATTTTAAATTTATTTGGTTTACCAACAGCTATTACACTGTGACTTATTTGCTAGGTGCAATGATTTGTGGTCTCACAGCTAATTTTTTTGCATCGCAAAAAAACCTCATGCAAAGGAACTTTTAACATTTAACTTTTAATATTATCAGATACAAGTAACTAATAACTACCGTTTATACAATAAAAAGCTATTTTTTATGTCAACATTAAAAATCCTGACGAAGCCTACGTTGCGGATTGACATAATTATGTAATTAGTTTTTAAAAATATTAAAATAAAATGATAAAATAAAAGTTTTCATCCTTATTCTAAGGTTTTTGTTGTACGTTTAGCGAGTGTTATTGCTCCTAAACATTAACTTGTTTGAGAAGCAACAGTTCTGACCCTAGGCTATTCTATCTTGCGGTCTTAAGAGAGCTTAAGACCTCATATAATAAAAAAGGCAAACACATTTTAAGAACATAATAATAATGCAAATTATAATCGCAGGAAACAAATAAAGCGATAATATTATTTATTGCGACCTCCCTCGTGTCGTATGCATTGGCATGGCCGTCGCAAAAGCGCGAGGTAGACCGCAGAAATTAATAAAAGTAACCATCGTTTTAATGAGTCGTTAACCCAAACTGCCTATGCATTGTCAGCTTATTGGAATCCACGCTTCAAACGTAATAATATACAATTACCCAAACCACACATTAACGATCGTCGGCGGTCGAAAAAAAACGAACGTAAAAACGTTCCTTTACCTACTAAAAGCATTAAAAAGCAACATTTTAGCTCTGAGTAAGATTTTTGAATTTTTACAATAAAACACACTTAATTAAGTGAAGAGCACAAAAAAATTGTACTCGCTTTTTTGGCGCCAATTATTGTTTTTTTTTTATTCGCTAATTAGACGTGACTGGCTTAATGGTATAAAGTCACCGTCACGTCTAATTTCCCGATTTCGACGAAGACGTAGCTAAATTGCAATTTTAAGTAATTTACACATAAAAGACCAAAATGGCATAATGCGGAACATCAAAACGGCATCTCGTATTAATCATCGCCTAATCGCATCCTTAGCGAATCCTACCTCAATTAGGACTTTGTGCAGACTCGAATCACAGTCTGTTAATCATGTAGTAACTCGTGTTTTATAATAAGAAAACCTGCTTTTGTAAGAAAACAGACGCCCTTGAAGTTTCATGACAATTAAAGATGAGAGCAAGAATTTACTTTGGCAACTACATTATCTGGTCTAACTAAGGAATTTCATTTTCTATGAATACCTGAGCTACAGAATTAACTCAGGGTTTCAGAACATACAGACCAGAACTAATTTCGAAAGTTTTTTTCCCAAGTGGGGCCTGCCGGGAATTTTACCGTACCTCCTCATCTAGCGCTGAAAAATTTAAATTGTAGGTATTTACTTGGATATTAACTACGCGTTTTAAATTAAAAATGATAGGTAAGTACTATTTCTTTCGGACATATTTGTTTTTTAAACAAACCAATAGTCAGCCATGATCATGTGGTCTGAAAGAGTCCGAAACCATTGGTTTGTTTGAAAAAAAAATGATATATATAGATTCGAAAATTTTTTTTCGTTTCGATTTTTAAAAAATCTAATCTATTAAATATTAACGTTCTAATTGAAATTTAAATATTTTGTTTAATTCTTTTTAGATATTCCTTTGACTTTAAAAAGTTCCTTATTCTACAGACAATAAGTTCCAAGATACTTACAAAGAAATATCTTGCATGTGAAGCATATTATGTCATAAAAATATTTTACATAGTGAAAATTTGTTACTAAAAATTCCGGTTCCCTTTGAATCGCTACAAAATTTATAAGCTGTGGCAAAACACCCATGTAGGCCAAGTTGCATTCAAAGGACCAAAGACGTCGTAACATTGAGCAAAAAGATGTGTAATTCGTCACAGAATACCTGTGCCTCTACCATGAGTTTACTGTCGCTAGCCACAGCGTCAGTATTTTGTATACGAAACGTCACTTCTTCTCGTGACCGCTAGGGGCGCTGTTTACAATTTGCCATACAAAACTGTCAAACATTTTACAAAGTCGCTAGTGTCAGCTGTACCTGTATTTTCATGGTAGAGGCTCTGAGCGCACCTGACGTCGACAGCCTTGTGTCCGTTTGCGATTGTTCCAATTAT